AACAATGAACACATTTGTGTTGTGTTTCTCAGGTCTACTGTCAGGTGATCAAGCAGACCAATCATGTGCCTCAGCCCAACAGCCCGGCCAATCGGGCGCACTGGCACCTCCTCACCTGCATGAGCTGCACCTTCCTCCCCAGTCGCGTTATCCTCCGATATCTACGCTTCCACCTGAAGAGGTAAGTTGTTTGACAGGACCCAACAATTCTACTTCCTTGTAAACTGGATAGCTAAAGTGTGTGCACCTTCATCAGGGTTCGCGAGCGTTACCCCAGCACGGAGATCGAGCGCTACGCCGCTTTCATCGGGGAATCCTTGAAGAAGACCAAGACTCGCGAGTTTGTGCCCTCCCAGGAGGAGATCGCCGCCTTGCTTGTGAGGCAGGAGATGAGCACCACTGTTTACTGCCACGGGGGAGGATCCTGCAAGATCTCCATCAACTCGCACACCACTGCTGGAGAGGTGCACATACAATTCGTATAAATTCCAACGTACAGTACAGTTGAAGGTTCTGCAGCAGCGAAAACTAACGCGTTAAAACGGTTTCTGCTCAAGGTTGTGGAGAAGTTGATCCGAGGGTTGGCCATGGAGGACAGCAAGAACCTCTTCTCTCTTTTTGAGCACAATTCTGTGACCGATCGAGCTTTGGAGAGCAGGGTCATTGTGGCAGATGTCCTTGCAAAGTTTGAAAGGTATGTCATGTCCTACACCACGAAACAGTATGGATACAGCCAAATTATATGTACAATTCACCGGGCGTATCATTTGATATATTTGCACAGTATTATGAGAATCAACGCAAGAGTTTTACACAAAATTACCCATCAACCTACCGTCAACAAGCCAATCCGACCAACCAGATCAGTCACCTGACCAAAACTTGACGCTCCCAACTCAACCCGATCAGTGACTCCACCAACCAACCGGAGTGACTGACCGATTCTTGCAATGAACCTACAACTAACACGACTGACTAATGCAACCAAAAAGCAACTCAACCCCCCCCCCAAAAAAAAAAACTCAACCCAAATGAAGCAACTCTACTGACCCAACCAACCAATCAACCAACCAACAAGCTAGGCAACTGACTCAATCTGTTTTAATGCTTTGTTTCCAGGCTTGCTGGCAGTGAAGAAGAGGAGGAGGAAGGAGAATGGAAGCTATATTTCAAGCTCTACTGCTTCTTGGATGTAGAGAGCATGCACAAAGAAGGAGTGGAGTTCGCCTTCATGTTTGAACAGGTGAGCTTCTCTCCTTACTACCTACGTACGGGCTAATCAACCTACCAAGCTGTTCTTCAATGAAGAAGACTTTTGTCCAAAGAGGGTATCTGGCATCAGATTTTGTGATCTGCATATGTGACCCCCTCTTCCTCTCTCTTCTGCCTCCCAGGCCCACGAGTCTCTCATCAGCGGACACTTCCCGGCGTCCGAGGAGACTTTGCAGCACCTGGCCTCTTTACGTCTGCAGTATCTCCACGGCGACGGGGCGGGCCGGGCCGGCTGGAGTCTGGGCACCGTCTACCCCATCGGACGTCTCCGGAGCCGTATCATACACTCCACCAAGCCGGGCGTGGGCTCAGCGAGCGCCGCGGTGGGAGGAGGGACGGCGGACGGTAAGGCAGCAGCGGGAGGAACGGGCGGCGTTGGCGGTGCAGTTGAGAAACGCAAAACGCCGAGCTTCCTGGACGGCACGCTGAGGAGGAGCTTCAAGACAGGCTCGCTGAAGAAACAGAAGGTTAGTGAGAAACTAGAGTGTTCAGACCTTCGCCAAGGTTCAAATGAGTGAATGTTTTCCATTCGATCAGTCTTTTGGTAATGGCTAGAGTTCGTTTTTCGGGTCAGGGATGTCCCAAGTTTAGAATATTCATAGTTTAAAGGAGGTCTAGAGCCATCGTAACGTGTGCGCAGGTGGAAGAGGAGCAGATGCTGGAGATGTGGGTGAAGGAGGAGACGTCGGCCACGCGCACCAGCGTGCTGGAGAAGTGGACGCGGCTGCAGGGCATGGCGCAGCACCAGGCCATGCTCAAGTACATGAGCATCATCAAGGAGTGGCCCGGTTATGGATCGACTCTCTTCGACGTGGAGGTAAAGACAACGATCGAATACGCCACACGCAACTTTTGTTTGAGTTTTGGTGATCTGACGATGTGAACCTTCTGTAGTGTAAGGAAGGTGGTTTCCCTCACGATCTGTGGCTGAGCGTTAGCGCGGATAACGTCTCGGTGTACAAGCGAGGTGAACCCAAACCGTTGGAGACGTTCCAGTACGAGCACATCACTTTCTTCGGTGCCTCACAGCTCTACACCTACAAGATCATCGTGGACGAGAGGGAGATGTTCTTTGAGACGCCACTGGTGAATTTTATTCAATTTTCACTGCGTCTGTTTTTTTTTTTTTTTTTTTTTTTTTTTGGGG